CAGGAGTCACCAACTCGGTTCGAGCGAGAGATGTTAGTACAAGTTGCTATTAGAGATATGAAGAAGATGGAAGATCTAGGGTTGCATTTACTAGAGAAGGTGATCGATTGTACGAAGAAGAAGAAACGTTCGAAATCTAATAGCAAGTCTAGCGACACGAATGACGATTGTGCCAAAGAAAAGAAGAAGAGAATTATAACTGAATCGAATAGTGATTGTAAAAATCAGACCAAAGAAAAACACACTTCAGGCATGAAGGAGCATGCGAAAGCACAAGGTTTCAATAGCATAACGACAATAGGTGTTGTAGTGCCTGATAACGTGAAGGAAAATTTGATGACACACAATGAGAATATAGACATAGCGGAAATGACTCGACGATATGGCATTAATTATTACAACGATGTGTCCAAGATAAATGATAACGCGCAGAGTGTCCAGGAACCTGTTAGTCGATTCCTTGTCCCGTCTTCCGGCGAAATGGAAAACAGGAGTAATGGAACGATTGTAATAGATCTAGTCGTCGATGAATAGCAATAGGAGCAATAGCCCCGATGGATGATTAGCGTAGTTTTACAAAATACTTTGTTCGTTGTTGCGAACCAATGATGGATTTGTTTTCCGAACAATACATAATGAAACGAAAATGTTGGAACATTTGTTTGATACTTTTTTTATATATTTTTTTATATAGTTAAGCAAGTATTAACTGATTGAAAATCCAATACTGTATTTTAATTAGATAAACAGTGGTTGCACTTAAATTTTATATAGTATTACTGCTGCCAAAATGTTACGATGTCGCAAAGAATATGTTTGTTTTGTTTGTGTTGTACAAAGTAATGAAAAATAGATGTACGTGTTATTTTGTGTTTAAACGCTGAACAACGTGGAAACAAGATATTTATTTAAACACGCAAGATATATGTTTTGTATCAATATTATTATTGATAAGTAATATGCAGATAAATAACATTCACTATATGAGCCGTTCGAAAACCATAATGATAATCTGGGCTAATTATGGAATAAGTGCAATAATAACACTACTATTAATATTGTGTATAAATAAAAAGTAGAATCAATCAATTTGGTTTCTGAGGTGCTCATATATGTAAGGTGTCCCAGTAGGAACTGGAATTATTAGTATGTTTAATGGATCATTCTGAATGAGAAAGGTCATATACAATATTGGTTTTAATTCACTATTTTTTGAAATAAGTAAAAACCAAGTGAATCAAAGCTTATAGTGTAATGATCTTTTTTTTAGAATAATTTATAAAACATATTGGCAAAGTTTGCTTCTGGGACACCAATTTTTTTTTTTTAATATATACATATACATAAATATATAATAATTTTGTACTTTTCTATAATAAATGTTTCTAAAAAAGAAAAACACTTTTTTTTATTATACCATGATAGATGCACTTTAGAAAATGTATAGCAGATTTAAATACAGTAGAAAAACATAGTAAAAATTACTATTTACTGACATTATTTGAAATTTTGAGTAAATTATTGAAATAAAGCACAGAAATTCTTTATCCTTTCAAGCACGTAATTGAAACATTTCCAAGCAAAACTTATCACCAAGGATACTGTCATGTACGATACTTCAAGAATAAAAACTACCATTGGCTACAGCACAATGGAGATAGTGATTTAAGATTTAGAAGGTAGAAACGCTCCATCTATCACTTGTGTTACGACAGAAGAAAGATGTAAATCAAATATCGACACAAGTGAGCGCTAGCAAAAACATTGGATTACAACAATAGTTAAGGAATTTAGAATTTAGATTGTGATTCCTGAATCCTTGATTAAAGAAGAAAAACAATATTAGAAATAGAAAAATTATATGCATAGTTCTACTTCCTTAAATGTTTGCAGGGATTGTGATTTTCGCTACAAAAGCGATAGGCTTCGACATAAAAACAGTCGATAATCGTTGCATATCATAGTTATATAAATATATCAAAAACCACTTTTATGCGATGTTTAGAAGTACTTGTAGTAGAACTCTGAACTTCATTTATTCAGAACGAAAATTTTAGTTAATGCCCAATTAACTAAAGTTTACTTATCCAAATGTGAGCTTAAGTGAACGGAAAAATTAACTAATTATCGGTAATTATTATCCGACTGGTCCTATATTGATCGATTAAAAGGGAATCTAACTGTACTTGCGGAAAAGAATTTAAATATGATAATATCTTAAAAATTGTTGCGTTGCAAATTTCTAAAATTCTACGCGATCGTTCAACCTCTCGACGCGAGTGATTTGGCGAAGTTTGGTATATGCGAAAGAGTCCACGTGTTACCGGCTTGTTCTGAAGAAGCTTCTTCCGGTCGCGTTGAAACGCGACGTATCCGAAGTTTTCGGCTGGATGCAAAAGCGCTGGCGGCTTCCGATAGTTGCTGCTTGGTCAGCGGAAGTCGATGAGCCAGCACATACAGGGTGTCTCATTTTAATCTATAAATGCAATCATCTTTATAAAACCGTTCGTTATTTGAAAAATGTTTTTCACATACAACTTCTCCTGTTTTTTGAGAAGTAATAGTTTGTTTGTTTCTAGCTAGAGGAAATATGAAGATCAATACTTTGTGTACTATCCTTGTTCTTCCTCATCTTTCATATGACAGATTTTATAAAATTAAAGTTAAAATATCTTCCTAAACTGATAGTTTTTCGACACACATAGACTGATACTGTTTCATAGGAAATGACCTGCTGCATCCATCCATCCATTTAAAAAAATAGTATTGACCTTTATATTTCCTTTGCTCGTCCACCTGGGAACAAATTAATTAAATTACTGCCTCCTTCCGAAAAAGAGAACAAATTGTTCGAAGAACGAATAATTATGAAGGTAATTGCATTTATAGGTTGTGTAATGGGCCACCTTGTATATCCTGTGGAGCGTTCAATGTGTATCACACGTAATATTGAAGGCACAATTAAACTGCAAGACGAAGCAACGCATTGCACGGCTGCCCGACACGAACTGATAAGCTCTGGAGAACCGCGTGGCTTGCCTCTCTCCATCTCCCATCAAGGAGATCCGATCTTGCTTTCCATCTTCCGTCATCGAGGAGAAGAAACAATTACGTTGATCGTGAATTAGCATGTCGTGCACGCAGAGAAAGGAGCTTGCATGCTGCTCTGTCGTCGGTTGCGATCATGTTCATTTCAATCGCTCCTGACAGCTGCTGTGCTGATGTCTTTTTCGTCTGGTACGTCCAGAACCTGAAAATTGAGAATTTGAGTAAGTAAAATCCCCGAAAACGAATTTAGCAGATACGATACATCATTCTTTGTGAAAAGGTATTCGTCAGGGGAAGTTGGATTTGAAGAAGTGAATACATCTGTAACTAGGTTGCGGATGTCCATGTATTCATGGAAAATTTGAAGCTACAGAAATATACGGAATACTCATAATGTTAAAATGGATGTAAAATATTTAAACTGCTCGTTATAATATTTAGTAGATGAAATAAATTTCTACTAGACACTGGGGATTTGAATTCTTTAGTTATGTTTATAAAAGTATGAACATACTTGCAATTTGCAACTATAAAATTTGGAATTGTTATGTAGCTATGGAATATAACGAAATAAATCTGATTAAAAGTATTATAAAACCACATGATTAAGTCCATGCTTAAATCCAATATTTTATTATAAAATACTCCGTATAAAAATATATTCTATGTTCATAAAACAAAAAATGAATCAATTTATTTATCATTTATTTATTATAAATTATCGAATTGATTGTCCTTTAATTTAACTTTTATACAACATTTTTGCCATTAGAATAAGCATGATACTATACTATATTTCTCCATGTCCTATGTTTTCATTAGACATTTTTACAGTGGCTCAATTACGCTGAGAAAGTTGATGATTATGTTTTACAAGTGATATACTTACGTGGCATAACTCTGTCGTATATGATCAATTTTCAATAACATCCCTTCTACAAAAGAATAATTATCTAATAAGTATCTAACGTGTTGCAACATTCATTACATACATAGAGTAAAGTCGCCTAATATGGGACTCATTTCTTAAAAACAACATAATTCTTGACTAGGAATATTTTCCTTAAGTTTTTTAAAACTATGATATCTCTTCTGTTACAATCTGTCTGAACACAGAGTAACACAGAGAAATCAGTATCTTCATATTAAATTAAAAACGAAGATTCGCAGGTAAGAAAAACAGGTGGCCTAATACGAGGTTTCTGTCTTATGATAAGAGACTCCAATGACAAGAGGAAACAATGATATGATTAATTGAATTCAATGGTTGTTCAATAGTCTAAAGATTAATTTAAAGATTAACTCTACAATTTTATAATGTTTATTATTGCTATTATTCGTATGCAACATTGTCGTAACGGAGAAAGTAATTCCACTGCTAAACCGCACAAACTCAACACTTTCTTGTTGTGCAACGGAAGTTGTTGTAATATATTCGAACGATCTTGTCAATGTTCTTTCACCGTTATCGTGAAAACTTGAGTAATTGAACTCGTTTTATTTCTAATCAGGAAGTTTCGATATTGTATTACAACTCCATTGATCTTCTAACGAAAGAATTATTTTTATGAAAAAGGTAGAAATTTTTATAGATAAATTTTAGAAATATATAGAAATATTTAGAAAGATAATTCTATATAACTCTACAACTCTAACTATAACTCTAAAATTTATAGAAATATTTAGATAGATAAATTACTCTCTTGCCAAATTACTCAGAAGTAGAGTGTTCTACTTTGACAGTAGACTTCTAAACTTTGTAAATCTCTTATTTGTGTTGTTCGAATCTTTCAACAACCACGTCATGGGGCAATAAAACTAGAACTAAACTAGTTTTTCCTAGAAATTCTTCTTTACACAATTTCAAACTTCATGTTCGTGTTCGTGTTCATGTCCAATTTAGAAGTAACTGATTATTGTAATTCTGTATGTATAGGGGAAAAAAGTGAAGTATCTAATTTCCATAATCTAGTAGCGGTTGTTATGCTGATAAAACTTTCAGCTTACTTATTAACTTATTTTCATGGTCGGGGTTATTCAACAGGATTATGTATAATAGCCATTGAAAATTGCTTTGAAAGATTAAAGGGGATGTAAAACAATATTTTTATTTTCATCATTCATGATGTAATAAACAGTATTAAATAATAATAACATACATAACAATAATAAATAATAACATAGCAATAAATAACACCAAAGCATTTTTAATAATCAATTATTTTAAGTGTTCCGGCGTTGCCGGAGTTACAGATATAAATGGTACCTTGGTTTGACGTAATTTGTGTATTGGCGACTGCTTCACACTTCGTACTGAAAGAGAAAATTAAATTTTAATGTATAACATTCTATAATTTGTATATAAAAATTAGTTTGTTTATAATCTTATGTATAATTCAAGATTTTTACGTTAAAGTTATATTAAATTTTATATTAAAATTTTTATTAGTAAAGATTTATGTTAGACTGTTCACCCTTATTCTTCTTTTCCATGTCCATAAAGATTTTTCTTAGATAAGTTACAGGCTTTATAGGAGATGCAATAATATTAGGTGATATAGAACTTCTTTCATAAAAATTTGTTCTATCAAAAAAGCCCATTCTCTGTGGGGTTTTCGACTTCTTATTATTTTTCTTGTTATTATTATCTTGGTCTTCCTTTTCTATAAAAAATATAATTATGAGATAGATATAACATATTATAATTATATACATAAACTATAAATATAATATTATGTAATACTAATAATACTAACCTTCGGTATCGTTTTCTGACATAGATAAACTGCGTCGTTTTGCAGTTTTCTTACCTATTCTATTATTATTTTTCAATTTCTTCATTTCAGTCTTTAAGCTAGGAAAAACCGTGTCTGGACAAACAGGTTCTTCGTATTTTGTACTTGTAGAATTAGCTTCATTTTTAACCAAATTAATACGATTTGTAGATTCTACGATAATAGTTTCATTTCTAAATTGGAAACTTATATCAACATTCGGAGATTCATTTGCTCGTAAGTCGTTTATTTTTTGAAAAATTTCCTTACTTAACATTTCAATCTCAGTCGATGTATCTGAGGATGTAGAAGTATTATCACTTATCTCACTAGTAGTAAATATCTTTTTGTTCATGCATTTGTTGTTCAGTTTCCAAGAAAAGAAGTTCTTTAATTTGCCTATATATTTCCCAGACCAATTGTTGGATTCAGTTTGCTGTGAATCACTGCTACTTTCATTGGAATTCTCCAGTACTGTAATTAATCTCTCAGAATTCAATCTGTATGTACGCGAAGATGAAGCGTTAATTTTGCTCGGGTCATTTGCATCCTCAGTTGAAGTTCTAATGATATTATGAAATTTTTCCGTTTGACACATCGAGTTATTATTTGTTTCAAATGTACTGTCCGATCTATCTGTTAAGTTGCTATTACTTGATGAGAACTCATTGTTTAAGTTTCTGGTAGAATCAGTTTCGTTTGTCTGCTTTGCAGAATCAGGTTTTCCTAAAACTTCATCAAGCATCTGTCTTAATTGTGCTTTTACCGAAACATGTGTATGTGTTGTATTATCTTTTTCTTCGGCATCTACGTCTCGTTGATGTTGTGAATTATTTACATTAATAGGATTCTTAGTTTTACAATTCGCATGAGATTTCGTATTGGGTAAAGAAAAAAAACTTGTACTGTCATAGTGTTCAGACGTATTTGAAATATTTTCATTTTCATTTTGTTTCATTGCAATTGACGTGTCTCCGTTCATTGTGTCGTAAAAATTTTCATCACTGAAGTCTGATGAAATCTCGTCAATCAGCATGGCATTATTGAAATTTAGTCTCGAATTCGATTCTTCATCTAAATGAGACAATATAATTTTATTATTTGTCATTTTTAATTTGTTAGATAGAATTTACGTTATACTGGACTGCAAACAAGATATGAATTTTGAAAGAATATATTTAAAAT